CCAAACTGGCTCAGGATCAAACTACTATCAGAAAATAAACCTATCATGATTAGATAATTTGCAAAAATCCAAACTGTTGCCAAATGGCAGCAAAAGTACACTGAAAACCCAGTGTTTGTTAATCATCTAACATGTCATCCAGAGTTTGTTTGGTGGTGTGTTGTTGTTTTTTGGCAACATACTATATATGGCAGGCCCATCAGAGGAAGATGGGGAGACTGATATTTTAATTTCTTGTATGCACATGTATGTCAGACTGGATTCATATTACTCTAAGATTGCTTGCTTGTTTGTGGCTCACTCTAGGTTATGTTAGTGGTTTCTTGATGGTTTAATTTGAAATAAAAGATAAAAACCTGGATTTTTGCATAACACTTGGATGAATTTAATTTGAAATCATTTTTTCTATAATAGCCTCTTATTGTAGCATCTTTTCAGTAAAATTGTTTAAATAGTCATAACTATTTAAAAGCAGATTGATTTTAAAAGCAATATCTATCTGAAATTTCTGTTGCATATTTAGTCAACTGGTTTATGGTACACAAACATCAACAGCTGAAAAAAACCGTGTTCCTATCTTGCAGCTTATCTAAACACCCCAGAGATTCTTGTACAATTTGTCACCACATCAAAGCAATACACAGCCTAGCTCTTGTATTACTCTGTGTGAGGTGATTAACAATCCCTTATTTTTATAGTTGCAAATTGGTACTAAAGTTTTAGTTCACCATTAATATTTGGAAAACTGCAATTGCAGGGCTGGGCAGATGGAAACACAGCTTCGGTAAAGCTGTGCAGCAGGAAAAAAAGCAGCCAATTATTAATTATTTGATTTTCTATTATTGCATTTTTATTATAAGCAAAGGAGGTGGGGTTCCATGGGATTTTTAGCTAAAATAATTTGGCTGACATTTGGTACAATGCACTCTAGCTATGAGGACAAGAAGACCTGGAGGAGCGTTGTCCATGGGGTCGCAATGGGTCGGACACGACTTCACAATGAACAACAACAACAACACTCTAGCTATAGAAGAGGGACAGGGCTTTCTGCCTTTTTCAAGCAGTGAAATAACTTGGTTGGGACTTGCCTGGACTTTGATAGCTGGTTAATATGGCTTTTTTGTATTTTCTGCTAGACAGTTGTGCCATTGTTCAGATACTTCAAGTTATAATGAGATAAGATGGGCAGCCTATACATTTTATAAGTAAATAAACACAAATAATTACTAACACAGAAATCATGTTTCTGTTGAGAGAAAAATGTATATTTAATTTGAATGATGGAGAATGAATCTCAAGTGTTGTCGCAACCTGGACTTGGAAGATGTCATGTGTGTTAACTTTTTAACATGCCTGGAAAGAAACCCACATGTTAAAATGTTTCTTTTAATTTATACTCGTTTTAAACACAACAAGTGAAATCTTAGTGTCCCCAGGTAATACATGAAATTTGTTGTTGTTGACAAACTAAGAACAATTGTTTGCTTTTCCTGAATGTGTGTCAGTACACTACTACAGGCACCTCCAAATTGGTAGGATGAAGGCAACAGTGTGCTGTCTTGTAAGGTAATCTCTAGACTAGAAATACTAAGGTCCATGGAGAATGTTTGGATAAAACTGGGCATGTCTGCCCTTCTACCATACTGGACAAGATGTACCAAAACCGATCAGTACTGATTTTAGAGATGGAATGCTGCATATAAACACCAGCACGACTTAAGTTGGGCGATACAGTTAACATCTTCTCCATACAGGTAATCCTCAACTTATGATCACAGTTAAACCCAAAATTTCCATTGCTAAGCAAGGCAATGCTTTGTTAAATGAGTTTTGCCCCATTTTACTACCTTTGTTTTTTTACCACAGTTGTTAAATGAATGACTGCAGATATTAAGTGATTCATGTGGTCATTAAACAAGTCTGGCTTCCCCCATTGACTTTTGTTGTTGGAAACTTCCTGGGAAAGGCACAAATGGTGATCCTATGACTGCGAGACAGTGTAACTGTCATAACTACAGGCAAGTTGCCAAGTGCCCAAATTTTGGTCACGTGAATTTGGGGATACTGCAATGGCTTTAAGTGTGAAAAACTGGTCGTAAGTCATTTTTTTCAGTGCTGTTGTAACTTTGAACGGTCACTAAATGAATGGTTGTAACTCATGAACTACCTGTATTTATTACTAAAACACATTATGCAAAAGCCTTGACTACCTAATGTCATGAACTGGTCAGGGAAATCAGTATCTATGTGTCCTCTGGGGATGACAGTGGCACCTGGAGGATTGCAGCTCAGAATGTAAGAGGAGTAAATGGTAAAGTAAATGAAACAGTATTTTTTAGAAAGCACATAAGAATAAGGAAGAGTATAATAAAAGCGAACAAAGATGGTCTGATATTGCTGAATGGATGAATGTACACAGGAAAGTGCTGTAGACTTAATAATGAACGACAGGGATAAAATATTTGTCCGAAAATATGAAAATATGACATACGCAGAGTTAATGATTGCATATGGAAGTAGGAATCCTTAGATGAAGGACAGTTGCATGTTCTGCTTCACTGAAATGGTAGCAATGGAAATCCAAGAACGAGTTGGTAGAAGAACTGTGGAACATTCTGAATGGTCACAATCCAAATTACAAAATAATTCTTCTGGATCATATGAGTGGGTGGGAATAAAGCAAACAATTATGGAAAAAGAGATTGACCCATTTGGAGATCCAAGAACAAATTAAAATAGTAGTGTTGGCTGGTTATCTGCCTAGAAAAACATCTCTGTGTTTCAAAGTCATGGTTTAAACATAAAAAGGAATATAACATGATTTGGTTATTTTTGAAGGTTACAAGTGTGATGGAGGTTTTGAATGTGGAAAGTACAGGCTTTATCCTATGCAGTGGAGGTGCAAACCAGACTTTCACTCTCCCAGTAGCAGACCAATTAAATCTCTGAAGGAAAACTAATGTAATTTTGCTGAATGAAAAAGAGCACAATAAAGCAGGTAGGCATGAATTACACTATATTTTGCATGAATATGAAGGTGGAAGTTGATTAATGCATGTGGTATAAGTGGTACTATGAGGAATAATGCTTGTAAAAGGACAAGTAGAACAGTTAACAATGATTCAACGTTGAAGAGGGGGTGAGACAAGGTAGAATTATATCCCCTTGATTATTTATTTGTAGAAAAATGTCTAAATAATGCTTGCAATGATTCATCTAACAAGAGCTGTCACTAAGAAGACTGTTTATCCATGGAATATTCATCTCTCCTGGGACTAATAATAAATTCATGTTGGTCAATATAATACATGGCTTCCCAAGAAAAGCTAATTAACTTTATAAGTACCTAGTCCACAAGAAAACATAAAGGCAAAACATTTTGGCTGTAATTTGTTTTGCTTTATTAATTTTAATTATTAACTAATTAGTTTTAATTAATTATAAATAAAGCTTCTGGTAAGCACCAGAGTGCAGAATACTTACTCTTTTTAAGCAAGAAGTGAATTAAATGCTTTTTGACTAATATGTTTGTGAAATATTGTAACATTTTTGGAAGTAGGTTTATTATTATTTTGTCTAAATTGCATATATTCCTCCTTCCAGGTTCATTATTATTAACTAAATTTATCATTTAGTCAATATGTTAAGAACAGGCAGAAGGACCTAGCTACCTTGGTTGATTTGGAAAAACAGAAAAAAAAGCTACATAGGATGAGATGTGGTGAATATTTCAATGTCTAATCTAATGAAAATTAAAGACTAGGACTGATATGATAGCAGTGCTCCAATATTTGAGGGGCTGCCACAAAGAAGAGGAGAGGATCAACCTATTTTCTAAAGCACCAGAAGGCAAGACAAGAAACAATAAATGGAAATTAATCAAGGAGAGAAACAACCTAGAACTAAGGAGAAATTTCCTAATAGTGAGAACAATTAACCAGTGGAACAGCTTGCCTTCACAAATTCTGGGTGCTTCATCACTGGAGGCTTTTAATAAGAGAGTGGACAGCCACTTGTCTGGAATGGTATAGGGTCTCCTGCTTGTGCAGGGAGTTGGACTAGAAGACCTCCAAGGTCCCTTCCAACTCTGTTATTTTGTTATTCTGATCACAATTTGTGACCTTCCACTCTGGCTTCCAACAAGCAAAGTCAGAGAGAAGCTAGATTCACTTAACAACTGTGGTGATTTGCTTAATGATCATGGCAAAAATTATCATAAAATTGGATCCAGGCACAAGATAATTTGCTGAATGACCGCATTACTTAGTGTCCAAAATTCCAGTCCCAATTGTGTTTTTAAGTCAAGGACTGTCGGTAATACATTGTTTGGTCTTATTATATGATGCATCTGAAGAACAGTGATGCAATTGTAGTTCACTTGGTATATTATTTCTTTAGATAAAAAAAAAACTAGTTTGTTTCATGTCTTCTGGGATTGTGCTATTATTTTTGCTTTCAAGAGAATACTAGGAATGATTTGGAAAATAACTGATTGTAATATTAGTTTCCAAAATTGGCATTGTTTTGTATGAAGTAATAAAACTGACTTATTAAAATCTGCAAAATATTGATGTTGCAGCAATTTGGTTGAGGGAAATACCGTCCAAACCCTTTTAACAATTTTGGATTGTTTGTGTTGATTAAACTGTCACTATTCAATATTTTTAGAAGCAAAATATATTTGTGTGTGGGGGAAAGAGGGGAAATAAGAATTAATACTGTATGCTGGATTGATAAAGATTCCTATGTAAGCCATCTTCAATTATTTTTCATGCAATGAATTGTATCTGTGATGAGTTTTGATACTGAGCAGAATCTCTTTTGCCTTGTGATACCTGCTCTTTGGAAGGGTAAGCTTATTAGCCGATTGGTTTCTTCATTATGTGCAATCCTACTTTGTGCAGGTGAACCAGTCCCCGTCCTGCAAAAGCATGGCTATAAGTAGTATGTTATCTAATAAACAGTGAGGTCTTATTGAGAGGAATAGTCTATGCGCAAGTATGGAGGTTTGCTCAATTTAATGAGGAACTCGGAAAATGTAGTCCCGTTATTTCCCCTTATCGGAGAAATTAGAAACCTGGCCTTTTGAACAGCATACTTATACCAATAGAAAATAATATTCGTAGCTCAGGATTGAACTGTGAGGTCCTTGGTGCTCTCTGAACTTAGTGGTTTTCTTGCAGCCGTTTCACTACCGAACTAGGTAACATCACCAGTGCTCAATGTCTGTGGAGATTTTCAGTCATCCCCAAAGTGCTTTTTCAAAAGGCAACTGAAATTTGTGTCTAACAGAACAGAATAACAAGCTTGGAAGGGACCTCTAACCCAACCTCCTGCTCAAGCAGGAGACCTGATACCATTTCAGACAAATGGCTGTCCAATATTTTCTTAAAATATTCTTTCCAATATTCTTTCTTAAAAACCTCCAGAGTTGGAGCACCCACAGCTTCTGGAGGCAAGCTGTTCCAGTGCTCAATTGTTCTCACTGTCAGGAAATTTCTTCTTAGTTCTAGGTTGCTTCTCTCCTTGATTAGTTTCCATTCACTGCTTCTTGTCCTCCTTTCAGGTGCTTTGGAGAATAGATTGACACACACACCCCTTCCTTATGGCAGCCCCTCAAATGTTAGAATACTGCTATCATGTAATCCAGGGGTAGTCAACCTTGGCTCTTTTATGACTCGCGGACTTCAACTCCCAGAATTCCTGAGCCAGCTTAGCTGGCTCAGGAATTCTGGGAGTTGAAGTCCGCGAGTCATAAAAGAGCCAAGGTTGACTACCCCTGAGTAATCCCAAGTCCTTCTTTTCATCAGAGTGCCTTGACTTCAGCTCTTCCTTATTCTCACAGCCCATTACACCAAGTGAAGAGGTTTTCTGAAAGGGGAGGGGAGTGGCGTTGGACGTTCCCTCCTAACTCTAATACCGGCAGTCAAAACAGAGGAGACCATTGCAAGGTTCAAGCCCACTTCTGCACCGCTGGCTGCAGAAAGAAGCACCGACGAGACCAGGTATCTCTCCGCAAGGGGAACCAACAGAGCCAAATGGTGGCTAGCACTGTATTTTCCTTGAAGACCTTTCGCTTCTCATCCAAGGAGCTTCTTCAGTTCTGAATTGAGTTTCTACCAGCCAGCTAGCGCGCTAAAAGATTTAAAAAAAAAAAAGAAGTTAAAACGCCAGTATTGTGCAGTGACGGGTAGTCTTTATATATAGGAGAATTGGAGAGGCGGGTCAGCCAAACCCGCCTGAAGAATACACGGGCAAACGGTCGGCTCGCCCGGCCACGTGCCGACGGGGGGCCACACTTTGCACACGTGCCTGCTCCTTGCACGCTTCGCTCTGCGGCTCGGCACTGAGGAGGCGGGTCCCTCGGCGGCTCCTCTCGCCGCCCAATCTGGCTCAGGGGCCGGGTTTGCTCAGCCACCGGCTCGTCGGAAGGGCAATGACCAGGTTGCTTTAATCCGGAGCCGGGCGGCGCGGGAGAAGCACCGGCGACGGGCGAGTTGAGGTTAACCGAGGGGAGGGCGGTCGGCTCGCGCCAAGTGATACTATGTGCCAGCATCGTTGTCTTGGGTAATCTGTAGCGGGGCGTGTGTGTGTGTGTGTGTGTGTGTGTGTGTGTCTGGAGGGGTGGGCTGGGGAGAAAGACCCGGGAAAGAGCAATCCTGTAGTAGTTCTCTGCGAGAAGGGCGGAACTCTTGTTTCTCACCTGCAGGGCGTGGGTGTGTTTGGGCGGGTTTCCCAATTTTCTTGGGGTTGCAGTTGTTTTTAGATGAGAGAAACCCCCGTCCGGTTATAACTTCCAAGGGAAAGTATCCTACCCGGTTGGATTGGAGGCGCTGGGTTTTAAATATTGGCGGAGCATCTGCTTTGTGATACCCGGCTAGCTACTATGTTATTAGGCCGCCTGGTTCCTCAATGGTAAAAAAAGCTTTCGTTTCTGCAGAAGGCTTCGTTTAATCGGCTTAAGAGAGCGAAGCTAAAAAAACGACGAAGTAGGCAGTTCTGCTATTCGGGAAGAGTGAAACCTTCTTTCTCTTCGCTAATCGTGTTGCACCAACAGTGAGGATTTTACATTGCTCGCATCCTTTTGTTGCAACTTAGTCTGGTTAGTGAAGGTTGAGGGAGGAACCGGCAGGAACTAAACATCCAAATCCTACACCCACTCTTTTTTTTTCTGAAAGGGAAAAGTTAGATTGTTCTGTTTTTTTTAAAAAAAATAAATAAAAAGAAAACCCACAGAATCTCTTTCAATTTCTGGCTCCAAACATCCAACAGCAATTATTTACTTTGAAAAATCCCAGGTTTTTGGTACCTTGGTAGTATTGTTCTCTATAAACAGACGTTTAATTTATATTATATTGGGCAATTGTGGAATAGTTGTAGAAAACTGTACCTAGTCGAGAGACTGACTGCTTGAATCCATTTGGATTTTAAATTCAGCAGGAGAAATTGTTTCTTTTTTGGTGCATCTGACTAGAATGTTCTTGGGGTAAAACATCAGGAAATGAAAGGAAAAGAAAGGTTGGTGAATTATGCTGAGCAGTGGTGTGAGGTCCTGCCACTTAATAATGCAGGTTATGTCTCGTAGTACATGTTTAGCTACTTGGTCTTTAGAAATCATTCCTCTCCTAGTAATTGCAACTAGCTACAGAAGACACTATGCTTGAATCAACCAATCTCTTCACTTTCTGCATCAGAGGAAGAGAAATCATAACATGCTGGAATAGTGGGATGGCCACATAGTTCATTGAATCTCTTGCTATGTTTGTACTTTACATCACAAATGCCATGTTACACTGAAAAAATAAACAGAATATTCTTTCAATGCAACTCTTCTTTAGAGTTGTTTGGTTTATTACATCAGTTAATGAATAGAGTTAAATCCAGATTGCAGGTCAGATCCTCTGACTCTGTCCTTGACCAGAAAAGCTGATGCTACAATAAAGTAATTTGACTTTAAAATTTTATAGGACATCTTGTTTGAATTGCAGTGGAACTCTAGTACAACTGCTCTGCTCGAAGTCTATAAGGGTTAGTGTGCTACAAAAATGTGTTACTTTCCTCATTCCTCTTATGTTAATAATTCTGCAGCAAGTGGTTTAAAATTAAAAGCAATTGACCAGTTTCTCTTCTAGCTTAGAAACCCATTTCTTTGTGGCCGCCTTTCTCTTGCAGCTGTGAGTGGCAAGTTTGAAAGTATTGAGTTCCTTCGGCAAAAGGCTGTTTCTAATGTATTTCCCATCTATTGACAGATTCCATTGCTCTACATTTTGGTGTTTTGTGCACCCCTCAATATAAGAGATTTGGAAGGGTCCATCCCGAAGAGGCATGTCACTGTGCACTAGTAGAAGTCTAACAGCAGTGCAGCATTCTCTGAAGCCCTTGACAAATGTCACGTTATTCCTATGAAGAAGCTACCCCAAGTCAACTGTTCCAGCAGTGGCACACTTTCTTGAATTCCCAAATGTCTTTTAAAATCACTGTCAGTAACAGCGGCGACAGTGCTGAAATCCAGCGGAGCCCACCTGAACTCCCAGATTTCTTTCCAAAAAGATCTAACATCTTTGAGAGACTTCCTGTTCTCCAGAGAACACAGGAGACAAGATGTCCTAAAACTGTTAGAGAGGATTTCCAGCAGAAAGGTGAGGTTTTTTTTAAAAAATGTTCATCAGAAAATATTTCCTGTCAGATAGATATTTTCTTTCCTTGTTTGTTAGGATATTTGTTAACTGTATTCATGCACTTAGGGGGTAATTTTGCAAATATCCTTCACCTTCTCACTAGAAGATCATTTAGAGCAGATTTTCTTTATAATTGACAAATTTATATCACTATATGTAAATAATTGCAAGAGTAGGGTTTGCGAAATAACACTGAAGTGATATCAGATAAGGAAACCTCTTTCTCTTTCATTTAATAATAATCACTCTAATGGAGACTGTTGGTAGGTCTTTTTAATGTTTTTATACAAATATTATGGTTAATATAACTAAATTTCCACTTGGAATGTAGAAATTCTTTTACAATGCACCATCATTTTATATTGTTTTTATTGCAAAATGATAAACATCTTTATCATAAGTGTTCTTACTCAGAGTTTGTGAGTAGAATGGTATTTATGTTCTGTAGAAGAAGTTAACCTGAATGATGGAGACAAAAAAAATAAAACTTGAGTATAGATCGTTCAGAATGAGCATTGATAATATTTCTATCTAGTTAGCTGGATCAAGATTAACATGCTAATTCCGTAGTTGTTCTGGTTGTCGGAAATCATTCCCCCTCAGTTTCGTTATTTCTTCAGCTTTTAATCTCAGCTACCTCATTCTTTAACAATTCAGAAACATAAGTCAAGATTCTCTAGCTAGTTAAGAAGAACTGAGGTTTCCCACCAGCCATAATTCTAAACAAACCTAGGTTTGAGGTTACATGACTTTCCTAGCTGTTCCCTCTAGTAGAAAAAAGCGACGATCGTGCAACATATACAGTCTTTGAAAGCCAGAAATAACCTGCTAACACAAAAATAGTTCAGTAGAAGATAATATCTAGCAACTAAGAAATAAAAAATATTTTTGAAGGGATGCAGTAACACATGGTCTCAAAAATCTTCATCAGGCAACCTTGTTTTTTGGCAATATTCTTCGTGGTGGACTATTACTAGTCCAAAAGATGTGGGACATTTAAAGAATATTGTGTAGACGGTTTAGTTGGTTGTTAAAATGCATTTTGCTTCCTTTATACTGCTTAGTGCTTTTGCATTGTGTTGAGTGTGACTGTGGTGATATCTTTTAATGTCTTGGATGAAGAAACTTTTAGTTCTTTTTCTGGGTAGCAGATGATCATTTAATTTCTGTTATGATTTCCCTTTTAATTTAAGATTGCATCTATTTCCTTTTTATTAAAAAGTAAATTCATCAGCTTCTTAGCTGCCAGTTTTCTCTCTGGCCTTTTTGCCTAAGGACAAAAGGAGGGAGTAAATTAGAGTCATTAATTGTTCGATGTAATTAAGAAGAAAAGGGTTATTTCTTTAAAATTGGGGATAGGTGCCCTAGCAGCCCCCTTTTTTTGCTTTGTAAATGCTCATACTGAAGATGGCTTCAATTGCATTTAGGCTATCCCTACATTAAAATATTTATTTCTTTAAAAGATGTGTGTGGCCACCCATTTTAAAACACGACTTTGGACAGCCAAGCATGAAGTAGTGGCTTTTTTTTTTTTTTTTTTTTTTGCTTATCCTACTATGGATTTGGTATGGGTACAGATTGATTTAATTTGACGCCCCTCACCAACCATTCACAAACCAATTCCGTCTCTCGGGGGTGGGATTAGGCCAGCAGGGATTGGCCAATTTAGGCTCATGCAAATACATGTCCTCTCCTTTAGTCTCAGGATATTTTTGTGGGCTTTTCTGCTTGGGGAAACAGGAAATACAAGTCATTTTAGACTGAATACTCTCCCAGTCCAGTCAAATCTCTGAGTTGATCCCAGGATTGATGACTTGGATCAGTCTGAAAAGCATCTGATTAACGCTAGTGGTGGGGGCAGCAGTGGATGGGAGTGGTACAATGAAGAAGGAGAAAGAGAGAGAGAGAGCTGATATCATCGATTAGTTGGGTTGCATTTGGAGTCAGGACTTCACCATCTTTTCTGGTAATGAGTTCTTTAGCTTAATTATGCACTGTGTGAAGAAATATTTTCTTTTGCTTATTTAAATCTTTTCTAAATCAACTTCTTTGGCTAGCCATTGATTTTTGTGTTGGAAAATTATTGCCCCCTGTTTCTCCACGCCATGCACGATTGATAATGTTTTTTTATGTGTTTGCATAATCTAAACATTCCCAGATATTTTAACCTTCTCCTATAGGCAAGTGTTTGATTTGCCCCAATTCATTTTCACTGCCTTCTCTTACATTTTTTTTCTAGATCTATTATAACCTTTTTCAAAACTATACAGTTTTTCAAAGTCTGACATAACTATAGATCTGCTTAAGGCCATTATAGAGTTGACAGCTTTATTTTTAGTTCCTTTCCTAAGGACCCATTCAGCTGAACTGGCTTTCTCAAAGCTGCTATATACTGATTCAGCAATTTCATTATTCATTATGACCCCAGATCCTTTTTCTAAATAGTTACAAGCACTCAGACTTCCATCAGTATATGTGTGAAGTTAGAAGGGTTTGCCTCACTATGCATCATTTTACACTTAACAAATGGTGCTGTTGATCTGCCACATTATTGTGTGAGATTAGTAGTAATAATTACTCTTATTTTTCAAAATTCTTCCTATAGCATATAAAAAAAATACAATTTCAGCTGGCCAAGTAAACTTTTTACATTGTTGTTGGGCCCATATTTGTAAGAATGTCCAGTTTCACCATTGTAGGCAATTCAGAGACTGCTCGAGGCAATTCAAGGAAGCATAGGTGAATTATGCACACAGAAGTAGTTGTGGATAGGAGTTACATGCATTACTTAAATAAAGGGTCAGTTTGGTCTAGTGGTTAAGGCTAGAAAGCATGAAACTGTGAGTTCAAATCCTGTCTTAATCATGAAAGCCAAGTTGGGTGAGTTTGGGCCAGTCACTCTCTCGCAGCCCAACTCACCAAAATAGGAGAAGGAAGGTGTGTTGGATATGTTCGCCAACTTGAGTTATTTGTAAAAATAATAAAGGTGGGATATAAATAAATAAAAGATAGAGCTGCTTGATTTTTTTCAGTTGCATAAATTTAAGATTTGCTCTTGGTTATAACCTATTCCTAGTCTAAATTATTGTGCTATCCAGCAAATACCTGTACAATGGATTTATATTGATTTGATTGATTTGATTAATTCTACACATTCCAAGTACTTTGTGTGTTCTGTCTTGGTCTTAACAATACCCTGCAAAACAAAGTAGACCTATATAGTAACTATGAGAAGTGCGCCCAGGTGACCAGCGCCAACTCAGCACTTATTTATCCAACCTTTTCTTGATTAGCTTGCAATTTCATTTGAAATTGGGAATAATTTTAGTATTTTAACAATGTACTGAACTACGGTGGTTGTATTATCATTTTATTTCACATAGAGATAAACAGACAGATAGCTGTGCGTGTGTATATATCTGGGTACAACTTAAAATAAATATTAAATAAATCACTGTATAGCATGTGATTTGACTTGATGTGCAGATTTTTTAAAATCTAAATTGTGAAGGAATGGTCCACAGTAGGATTGGGGGAAATCTCTATCAAAATTGCTTCTCTCTTCCACTTTTCAAAGGAAGCAAGCGCTTATGTTTTTTGAATCTGAATTTCAGATGTGGAAAATCTTAATTTTGATTGGGAGCTTATAGGTTAAAATGCCAAAGCCATCTTTCTCGTGCCTCTATTGTGGCTTAGGACTTCCCTGCATCAATTTAAATAAAAAAAAAAAGGCATAAGAGAGAATGGGTTGAGGTGAGGTCATGTTCATAGATGAGGTCATGTTTAAATTGGACAAAACCCAAGTCTTGCACTTTCTGCCATTACATTCACTGTTGCTAGGATAGGAGAAGTTACATAGAGACCTTATTGCTCGCAAAAAGATTTTGAAATTACACTGTGGATTACAAAACATTAAGACCAGGACTGCAAATATGTCTAAGACTACAGATTGCCTACCCTGACTTAAAAATGTTTTAAATATTTGGTTATTTAAAATCATATGATAACACTATTGTGGCAATACGTGGACAATTCTTCACGGATTGTCCTTCGAAGCTTCTCCAGAAATATATGGCTTCTGAATGAATTATAGCTATAGATGGATTTTAAAAATTCAGTTTGCCTTGAAAGATAGCATGACAGAAGACTGATTATAGCTTTTATTTTTTGCAAATTATCTTTCTACATGCATAGACCCTCTGGGGGACCATTTGGGCAAGTATCCCATGGTATGATAGTACATTGTGGTAGAATGCTGGAAGGAAGATGCTATATTTGAATACTTTCTTGGGAATCTGTTATTGCATTAGGAACACACTGACTTTGGGCTGTGAATAGCAGGGAGCCGTGGTGGCGCAGTGGTTAGCATGCAGTATTCCAAGTTCCAAGCTAATTCTGCCTACTGCCAGCAGTTCGATTCTCACTGGCTCAAGATTGACTCAGCCTTCCATTCTTCGGTAAATTGAGGAACCAGATAGTTGGGGGTAATATACTGACTCTGTAAATCGCTTAGAGAGGGATATAAAGCACTCTAAAGCGGCATATAAGTCTATTATATGCTATTACTGCTATTACTATGTCCACTAAAGAGCAATCTAAAAAGACATTTGTCAGACGATATTTGCAGATATATTTGCAGAATCTGTTCAATATATATTTATATTTATATATTTGCAGAATCTGTTCAAATTCTACCTTTATATTGGATTTGACAACTTTTGCAAAGTAGTTGCCAGGTTTTCTCAAACTCCTCTGTATTGTTAAGGCATACTCTGTCTGAATACTTACTTATTTGCACAATATCCGCTTCACTGCTAACCTGGGAAAAGGCTTTCCCCCTTTTCTGTGGTTTAATTTGTGTTTTATTAAATGATTATTCATCACTGATGATTACTGGGAAATATGCTGCTGTACGAAATACTGTAATCCAATTTATGCCATCTCAGTTTTCATGTGGTTTT